CTTAAATATTCAAGATTTAAATTATAACATATAACTACTATTACTTGCACGGTTATAGTACTAATATACATGATAAGTCGTACACCTCTGGTAAATCCTACACCTCACGGTGTTTCCTTTGATTAGACCTAATCGCTAGAGAGGGGATTCTCGGGCCATTGCTTCAGGAATATGCTGGTAAATCACATTTGGGCATTACAAATCTAGAAAGATTTGAGCGTGGTTGGAGTCGGGATTAATTAAATTTGCCCTTTAATTATGAGCTGCTGCCCGTCTGTTAAATAGATAAAACGAATGGAATTCTACTGCTATTTTCATACTGTACAGAATACTACTATCAGTCAATTTCTAACATTTGTCATTATAGCAATTGGGTACGTCTATTATGATGTTCGTCTGAGTACGGCCAGTATACAAACGTGGGAATGAAATGACAATCATTAAAAGTTCATCCGGCGAACGACATAATCACCGCTTGTTATACAAACCCGATCCATGCCATCATTTCCATTCAATTGATATGCCGGATATCAAGTTCTCATGTAGCATTCGATCTGCAATTCTAATTTCTATCTTGCGTGTTGGAGAACGGTGCTTGTGTATATTATGTTGCAAAAAAAGAGATGATATATGCATATCACGAAACATGAAATATCTAGATACGGTGATGAGACCAATCCATGTTAATCGTATTACATAATTATAAATCTCAGTATTCCGCAGAAATGTCAACAACTCCATCATCTCAATGGGCAATTTTGTTGGACCATTCATGATGTCAAAAAGTTAATTTGTACACAGGATTGTATTTTTGGTCAGTACTGTGCATGAATGGATCATATCCTGATCATTAAGAGAGACGACAATCTCTTCCAGAATAGAACACTGCGATATTCTGCCAAAGGATATTTTATGCGCTCTACCAATATGCTTCTTGGGTGACTAAACATCCCTGTACCGGCGATAACCGGGATTGCGATATCCTAAATTTCATCCCGGTCAAGGCTGTGATGTCAAATAAAGTTACCGTAGCCATAATAATTTGCTAGTAAAATATTAGACATATATGTCTATCGATTATATCTCAAATTGCATCAAATATTGGTGTAAACTTTTGTGTATGACAAAAGAACGCTATCCGAAACAGGTTTATATCCTTCTATGTAGACTTGATGAGATTGGTCGTGTGACATGGGTTTCGAAGGTTCGCATGCTCCTATGCTCTCTTGGTTTTGCTTTTATATGGAATTCTCAAACAGTTGGAAATATTAAGTATTTTATGTGTCAGTTTAAATTAAGATTAAGGGATATAAATCTTCAGGAATGGTCAGATAAAATTTCAAACTCTGAATCCCTCCAAATATATAAGTCATTTAAATTAGATCTGTCTCAGGAATCTTATTTATCATTACCAATAAGTGCACATATTAAACGGAATGTCACTTTGCTGAGATTGAATATATTGCCACTTGCAACTGTTCTTTTCAAACGAAAACAAATCACTTCCCCACTTTGTAAGTTATGTGAGGAGTCTGATGAGGATATAAGTCATTTCCTTTTCCAGTGTACAGTTCTGGCGGAACTTAGACAACAGATAATTCCCCAAAACTTTCTCAGAAACTACAGTCAATTCAGTCTAGGCAATCTTTGTAATACAGAGTGCCAAAATTACATAATTGCAATTTCACAGTATATCGATAAAGCAAGTCAATTGAAAAAACGTTGATTGATATTGTTGACATTATTGATATTGTATTTTATTGTTATTGTTGTTACCACCACCATCTTCCCACATTTTTGTTAAATGATATTGTATTATTTGTATCTTTGGGTCCAAGACCTCTAAATACTGAATAAACAAATTATTATTATTATATTATTATTATTATTATTAGACATATAATGCAGTACCCAAAAGACTTCAATTGACAAATATGTAAATAATAAGAAATACAAAGTCAAATATACGATTTATATAATAATAACAAATAACTCGGTTGTTGAAAAGCTCTCTATCTAGGTGTTTCATAAAAACAAACAGTGAAGTAAAGTAAAACAACAAAATATATACGTAATGTGGTTCCTCTCGAATAGCATGCACAGGGTACCGTGTCAAACCGACTACTAAGGCAAACTGCTACATGGGGCCTTTCCTTGTCCCTCTCCCAAAGTTAATTTCCTTCAAACCATTTACTGCTTTTGTCACTATTATGGACACGGTATATAGCGAGGTTCATATAGCAAATGTTGCCCACCATTTCCAGACTAGTCGGAAACGGTGCCCTACATCAGCCCAGTTATTAAAGGAGAGGCGAAAATGACATACACAGGTACTATCTTTCAAGCAGACATAACATCTTTAAAGTAGCTAAATCTCTAACTCAATATCATTCAAATTCTTCGACATTGAAGACACAAATTATTTGTCTATTTAAATCAACATTGATGTTGTGATCCTACCGGAAAAAGGTGGGCTTCTGGTATCCAATATTTAAGACAAAATAAACATTTTACCATTGGTACACGAATCGTGTACCATAGTGCGTTTCAGCGTCATTTGTAACAAGGGGCTCGAAGAACGAGACTAGACATATTCCATAAGTCATGTCAAACGGTGACGCTATATTCTTATCTGGAGAGCATGCGCAAGAAATAATTTCGGTGTAGACAGGTATAACCAGACTCTGGAAATAGCCATTCGATTGAGATTTCTGGCGTATTTCGCCGAACTTAACTGATGAAATTACAGTAAAAACAGAAATGATTGAATGTAAATCAGTTTATATACATTCATATTACATTATTATATGCGTTGTGACGCATTTGTATCAATTTCTAGGTCCCAAATATTAGCGACTTAGTTCCTTTAAGATTTCCACACGGCTATACTTTACTGGAGTTTTCTTAAACTTGTTAGCTGATTAAGTCGAATATCATACCACTTTATGTCCTGTTTGATTTTGCCGATCTATTTATAGCTTGGAGATGTACCTAACTTAATTTATAATCTATAAGCTTACATTATATAACTTTATCACGAGTCTAATAGAGCAAGGGATTAATATGTTATTCAACATTCACTAATCTTTGTTAATATTGGCCCGCTGAGCTTAACTTACTTAAAATGGACATAATCCTTAATTACGTGTTCATAATTCTCACGGCGAGTAATCATGATCTAACAACGTTTTATTGTCAGGAATATTTTATTAAAAACATCCTGCGTAATATCGTAATGGGTGTTACACTTGTTACCGTTGGGTGGCTCGTATTACATAATTATAAATCTCAGTATTCCGCAGAAATGTCAACAACTCCATCATCTCAGTGGGCAATTTTTGGGGCCATTCATGATGGCGTGGTCCCCCAATTGGCATAGGAAGGAGGGTCTGACAAGAGGCGGGGTATCGTCATTCGTATGGTACAGAAACCAACCGAGATCTCGTAAACACATTGGCGTGCACGTAAAATAACCTTTGACAGATGAAATTCGAAATGAGAATGGGCCCTAGCGCTGCTCTCACTAATAGCAAACTGTCCGTCTTCATTAGCCCAGTCGGTGCAGAAATGTAAGGCGTGAAACCCCATTTCATTTCATTTTGTTTTGTTATAATAGTGGTAATGATATATATTAACAAAATCCTGCGTTTTAATAATAGTAACATAACGCCCTACCCCAATGCAGATTGTTTTTAAAGAAAACTGTCACTAAAATACCAAATTTGACCAATGTGACCTAATAAATTGCATACTGTCATTGTAATATAAGCCTGTATTTATATTGTCATTGGTAAAGGTCAGTGCCGTTGCACCGTTAATAGTTTGACTCGGTGCCCGGTTTGGCTCGATGCATGCGAAAAAAACATTACCAGGTGGTTACTTTCCCTGTTTCATGTGGAAACCATTTTACAACAGTCGTTTTTTTTAAAGAGATAGGTTTTGGTAACCAACTGTTTATATTAAATGTCGTATTCATTTCTATATTCTAAACATATCTTGATTATTATTATATCATGTCTACTTAGACATATTGAATTCTGTGTTGTATATTATGTATGATTACGATTTTACTTGCAAAGGCTATGGCAGCATTTCTGTAAAGATAATCAAATCGCTACAACGGATCTCCGAAATATACAATTTTCACTGGGCCTATTACCTGACTGACGTGTACTATGTGGTGTATTTGTACGACATCGTGATTGATTACACCCTATAAACTAGGACACACTTCCATTGATTTTGCTCAAATATAATCATTTTACAGCCAGACTGACATTACACCAAGCAGGTCATAAATAGTCAAAAAGTGATTTTAAATTTGAAGTTAAATCCAATATGACGTTATATCCAAAAGCTCAAGAACTATGCAGCCCCCCTTTCATTTGAGTAAAAAAAATGTCCCATTTTCTAATCGAATGTCTCGTCCCCTAACTGATATTGGCTACCAAGGGAAAGAATTATCATATTCCACGACAATTTGGTGAAATGGCTGATGTGACCTAGATTATGACCATTATAGAACATATTATCGATTACCCCTTATCATAATCACAATAATAGCTACGCTGTTTATTATTTAAAAATAAATCAAATTCTCTAATGGATTAATGTGTATTTATTTAATACGTTAGGACCTACTCTTAGCACAGTGATACGTATAGTTACATGTAATGTCAAACCCTATCAATGGCCTGGAAAACGTTATTACTTTTATGGTCTATTATGTCATGTAGATCATTTAAATATTTAGAATACATGTGAAATGAGTGAAATGGGGCATGCTGTTTTACTGGGCTGCATTATTTAATTTATGTTAATAATAATAATATAAAAGACATAGCTTTCCCTTGGCGTGGGATCAATTTCTCTACCAAGTGCAAAACTAACGGTAGACTTTCAGCGTTGAGTACGAGCGTTCGATATGCCGACTGAGGCTAGAGAGTCATGTTTGATCAACGAAATACTTGCTGAGTTACGGGTTAAAACATTCCACTTACCTCTTATGAGATCACTCGCATCTGATCGCTTCTTCATTTGATTATATGTCACAGATTTATCCGTTCCGGAGTTAGTCATTGATGCATACTATTGTAGCAGATCAAGGTTTTATTAGTATCCAGCACTGTTGTGTGCTTGCTTATGGCGAGTATTCTTTGTTTGCCGTTAAACTTCCACTGATCAATATTGAGTAAATTTGAGTGTCTCGTGTATTCCAGTCTACTTCGAGTTCGAGACTACACACAAAGGGGAAGGCAACTGAAGGAAAATTAACCATCTGCCACGCTCGAGTCGACTGGTATCCTTCAAAGTAAAAGAAAAGATATGTCGATCATTTAAAATTCATTAACTCAAGTTACGTAATGGCGAGGGTTACTCCAATTCGGTGATACCAGAGAGGGGTAAATGGACGATAATGTCGGTTGCCATGGTTACGTTATGGCGGTTTTTTTTTTGTGTACATGTCTTAGATGGAGAGTTATATCACGTTCATCGTGTTTAGTTTATCTAAAGTTTCTTTAAACAAATTCTCAACTCTGACTTATTTTTTTTTTTTACAAACTGAGAAATGTTATAAGGTCGTTTATCCAAACCAGTTACTTGCGTACATGTTTTGTGGTCTTGATACAGTATCATTACAGTGTGTGTTTTCAGAAACAGTCTTTTTTTTTAAAAGAAGCCCAACCCGTTTTAGAAATCACTTTCAACAAAAATGGGTGTAATTCTCGGCTAGACCAATATGGCTACTCAAATAGTCGATTTTGAAGTTTTGTATCCTTCTATTTTCGAGACACTCATCAAATAAAACTTCTTAGAAGTGGCAAGTCGGTGTGCTTTGTGAAATCAGCAACAAAACTTTAATCTTTTGATTCCTTACTACAGATTAACCAATTTTCCGTTTAAATTTGTATTTTCATATTTCTAGATTAATAAATTTAGATCTAAATTTGTATAACTACCTTAGAGTTAAGAAGCAATCTTATGTAATCTGAATTTATATAATCGATGTTTAATTTTTACTTCAAGGTGCATTTGCACTTCACCAGTTCCCGCCATTTGATTTCACTTCCCAGTCTCAGTACTAAGTTGGTACATTAATACAAACAAAAACGGAAGAAAGTAAGATAAATAATGAGACTAACATAATCTCCACAATTCTAACTTATTAAGGGTTGTTTTGGACTTATTTACATGAAAGGCGGACAAACAAGACTTGGTTAATCAACCCATGCACTGACTCCACAGACAATAGTAATATAATAATAAGAGACACAGATATCAAACAAGTGGCAAATCTTAGTTAGTTTATTTGACTTTAATTTATATTTCTCGAGCACTCAATGTTATATCTGTCTACAGTAAACACGTATTCCATTGTAATAAACATTATGTAGATTAAAGCCATTATACTTTCAACATCTACTAACAGATGTCACCTTCAATTTTACTTGACCTATATCCACTAGAAAGCAGGAAACAGTATTAAAATTACCCATATGCAATCGAGTATGTCTGGTTTCAAAAATTATTTACACGAGCCTGTTACGTAGACCTACTTGATCGGCTCCATACGGAAATTGTTGAACATGTTTACCTATTAAAGTCACTGCTAAAAACCCCTACGCGCAAGCGAAATATTGAAATAAAATTGAACCATGTTTTAGTCCCAAAATTACCTAGTTTGAGTGGATTTTAAACCTTCTCCCTCTCCCCCCCCCCTCTCTCTCTCTTACCAATTAAAGTAGAAGAATTAAATACAAAACATTGAATAGAATCAGGTTTATGATCGTTGAAAGGGCAATGTTTATACTATTTATATGTACACAGAATAGCCTATTTAACTGGGAATAGCACATGCATATGGCTAATGGCGAATATCAGCTAATTGTCAGCATATATTATCACTTGTGCGACCCATTAATCGTAATGATATACTATTTAATCTTTAAATGGCATTTAGTTACTGGATAGAGTAACAACAAAAACACATACTTATGGAAAACAGCTAAATTGTCTGTGATATTATGGACAGGTTGATTAAAGTTATTTACATACGAAGGGGGCAAAGCAAGGTAAAAACAAAAAGCGTTATAATATGTAACAATGTCACTTTAATAAAGCACGATGTTAAATTTCGCTGTCGTGAGAAAAGCGGGCAGTTGTTTTTTTTTAAATTATAAGAATCATTATTGCTATTCCTGGGGTGTTCCCACTTTGCCGGCAGGCTTTGATGTCAAATTTTTGCCGCTAATCCAGAGTTAATCCTAGAACAATAGTCCATATCTTTTTTAAGAATAAAACTGTATTGATTTTAATAAATTTAACTTTTATTAAATAACATTAAATAATTTACACATATAAAACTGTACTGATTTTAACAATTTTAACATTTATTAAACAACATTAAATAATTTACACATATAAAAATGCATTACAATTTACACATTTAACTTTTATTAAATAGCATTATATAATTTATAAATAAATGTCTTACAACATAACAATCATTTTACAGCCCCACTAAATAGGAAATATTTGTTCTATACTGATTTACACTTAAAGTGCCATTTAATAACTGGTCAATTCTTGTATCAAGTCGTCGATATTTCGATACGGATCGACCATCTATTTATATTAATATAGTGAATTGAATTCATGTTTGAAGGCATACGCCGGCATGAACTGTGTTTAAAATGTCATTAATTAGTTGGTTAATAAATTTTATTAAGAGGGATTAAGAGCCCATTAACGCTGAACACTAGTGAACAGTTCTTGAGTGACTACTTTTAAACAGAGTATAGTTTTAAGATCAATTAAAGGATTAACATTCTGCCGGCATAGTGGGAACACACCCTATTCCTTACGTTTTACCTGTTGGACAAAAAGCAAATTAAACATACAGCGGTCAGATCAAACAAGTTATTGTTCGTGGTTTAAAGGCGACAAATAAGGAAATTAAATTTTCAATTAAGCCCTTTAGTTTGATTATCGAAACTAAATTAAATGTTAATTAGATTTCCAAGATCTTCAGTTTGATTATTAAAACTAAGCTAAAAATGAAGCCAATGGATGGAGTTGTCCCATTAACGTTGTTGACATTTTAGCATGGGTTGAAGTGGACGTCAACCAGTATAGGAATAAAGCAGAAGTTAATGTTATTAAAGTTCCTACGCGTATTGTAAAGTTATTGCTGCATAAAACTTCATTTTCGACAGGGTTTTATCGCCGCTTCCAACCCTTGTGGCATCGCAGATAATATCACCGTACTTGCTTTCCACAGTACTGTTGCGATTTTTTTATGTGCCCAGTTACTTAATGCTATTCGAACAGTACATTTGATACAACTTATCACGATCATCACTGGTGAGAGAAAGGTTTCTTGTAGCATTCGTAACTAAAACATTAGCTGCGACATTATTGAATTTAGTCTTGGCACTTGGTGCATTGTTACCTTTCTTTTTCCTTTTATTTGCATGCTCTGTATTTTAATACAGCACTGTTGTGTTGTCGAATTTGTAAAAGCTGTAGGGATAACACTGAAATGTGTAATACAATACGAGCTAGTACAAAACCAGACATTCCAGTCCGCCGTAAACTAATAACACACAATAAGAAATGTCAAAATATTCCTATTACATAACAGAATAGAAACTAAATGCGATCCTTGTAGAACTCTGTACTTGACACAGATATTCAGTAACAGTAAAGGGTCGATTGTTTAGACGATTATATCGTCATTTAAAGAAAGAAATCTATCGATAAACGAAGTTCAAAACTGTAATATTATAATAATGGTGATTTTCTGAATTGTTCGTCTTTTATTATTCATTCAATATTCCATTCTTTCAATTATACATTTATATTAATCTTATTTTTCTTTTAATCCTCCAGTGCTAATTAGACGTTAAGCTGCTAATTCATAACATTCTCTAGATGGCTGACAGACTAATGATTTTAATTACTATCCATACCATAGTGTTATAATACCCTGCCCCGTGTATATATATGACATTCTCTAGATGACTGAAAGACTAATGATTTTAATTACTATCCATAGTGTTATAATACCCTGCCCCGTGTATATATATATATATATATATATATATATATATATATATATATATATATATATATATATATATATATACATTCCATAATAAAATTGTTGTCGCAAGCAGTGCTCTTATTTTACCTTACCTAGTACTTTATTAGAGATTTTCAACTGACTTAAATCATTTTAAAAGAGTATCGGACAAGCTAACGAAAGACCGGTCTTTGACTCCCTCGGTGTTTATGGGATCAATTTTGTTTTGATGTTGGCTGTTATTATTAGGCGAAACTCCAGTCTTGTCACTAATGAAATGGTAGGTGGATTGAGTAATGGATATTGAGAAATCTATTAGCGCGTGTGTTGTATTGGATCTATCCAGAAAACCACAGCCATTTGAAGTAGCCTACCCTTAGCGTCAATAATGAAGACTCTCTTAATATAAGTACATGGAACATACAGTGCAGTAATGGCAGTAATGATAGATACTGTTGTCATGAATATCAATCGGTTTATAAATCTAATAGAGTTCAGTGTACGGCTTCGCATTAGGTATATGGATTATTTTTGTTTTCGTGTGTCATACCAAGGCCGTATGTTGTATAAATCAGTGGTCAGAGTGCTAATGAGTATTTACCAAGTATTTGTTGAAAAACTATAAAGCAAACTGCTTAAAAATGCAGTATGCCAACGTTAAATAAAAAAACCCTGACCTTTCCTGTTTTAATAGATAATGAAAAATTAAGTCAAATTATTTTATCCTGGGAGATGTTATGAGTGTTTGAAGTACCATTGCATGATAATAATCGAAATCTCAAACGACGGGCCTTTTATTGAGTGGCGTAAATTTTAGCGTTAATCGATTATATGGCGCGAATGGTCTAATCCATTCAATAGCTAAGCCATGCAATGATCAACAGAGTTGATTATGGGCTCAACATGCGAATAATTAATAATTGACCCACGTTCCTATATCACAGGATTGATATTCGGATAGGTCTGTATTAACTCTTACCCAAAACTAAATGTGTTTACTTTCTTAAGTGGTGGTTTTCATCTTGTGGAATGTAACAATTGACATACAATAGGAACCAACTTCTTCTGCAAAAGGGGGTTTAACTAGATTTTTCATATCACAAGGGGTGTTATGAAGTACCGGAACTAGATACCTAACCATTCATAAGTCACGTTTTTTTTTATCAATGTAGATGCTATTTACTCGAAAGATGATTTTATTTCGCAGAAGTGAGATTAACTCGATTCTTGGCGTTCTTATGTTCATAAACCACCTGAGTTGACCTTCGTTATCTGCATTTTTATTCGGTCACTATTAGGAGCCACGGTGGCTAAGTGAGTAAAACGTTGACACTCTAGCCTGGAGGACCCCCCGCTCAGTGATGCAGGACAGAGGGCCTGGCAAGATACAACGTATATTCGTTTGGATGGTACGAAAAACTAAGACCCCGTGCACACATTGGCGTGTACGATAAAGATCCCGTGGCAGTTGGAATTCGATATGAGAGTCGGCCGCAGTGCCGCGATCTGGGTAAAATTTCCCTCATGACACACTCTATGGCATATACCCGTCTTCATTGGCCCAGTCAGAGCAGACCCCACTTCGATCTCTAGTGTGCGTCCTTTAGTACTGATACTATGTGCCAAGGTGTATGGTTGCTTATCTTGTGGGTTGTTTCTCCCAAATCCGTGATTGTTTGAAAATGTTTTTAGTGAAATTTATCACCAAATCACACAGTATCTTTAAGCTGAGATAAGCAATTCTTTAGGGGATGAGGGTGGGAAGACTTCGAGTATAAATTCCATTAAATCAAAGTTAGCTTGTAGGTATTTAGGGGGATACTTGGACAGTCACAAGGAGTTTAATAACGTCGAGAAACAGATAAGGGGAGGTAATCTACCAAAATAACACAGAGCTCAGCCTAGTAATTATTCCCTCTTAGACGAATGTAGTGCGAGTTATAGACAATTTTTTACTTAATTTTTGTCTCCCCTCTTCCTGCATGTTTTTGGTTGACTTTTTGGTCTAGAATCGGAGAAAAGGGATGAAATTTGCAATTTCATAGCAGTTTTGGGTAATACTGATGATATTTACAGCGGAGGGATAGGGGGTGTAAAGTGTCTTTCTGCAGAGCAGTCATTGTGTCTGAAGTGAGATTTTCACCCCAGTCAACTTCAAATCCCCGTAGCAAAAAATCTAAACGGTCAACCCCTACAGAATTATGATGAGGAGATTGCCAAATGTGGTCCCCATTGTGTCTATAACGATTGGAACCAACGGAATGTTGAGCAAAAAGATACAGCCTGTGATGTTACATCCATTTAACATTAATATTTCTGCCATATTTTTTAGAATTCAGGAAAAATCATTTTAATAGATCATGTCAAAGGCATTATCATTTATGTTTAATATTACATTAATGCATTTCGTGACCATACACACTGTTTAAAAACGTTTTTACAAGAGTAATCTCCCTTCCATGTATCTTCTCTCCATTTATTGCACTTCATAATGATAGACTTAAGCCGAACACACAGCGAGCTTCTAAGCCGATTTATCAATGATTTTGAAATTAATGCCATATTGCTAGAAAAAATCAGCCGCGTGAGCGTCATTGCGTCGGCAACGAGTTGCTATTTATCAAATAAGTTCGATATTCGGCGAAAAAGAATTGCTGGTGGCGCTGAAATCGTACATTGATCACAAAAAGCAATCTCTCGAGGGGCATTTTTTTTATTGTTTGACAACGTAATCAGCGTTGACAATCCCGAACTTACTGTGTTCTGCAAATAGCTTGTTCTAGTGCACGTTCGTTGATTCTACGAGCTAAAACAAACGCCAGTGTTCACTCGACTTAAAGAACAATATTGGTGTCAGTCACTATTACATATATATATATATATATATATATAGAGAGAGAGAGAGAGAGAGAGAGATAAGTACAAGTACTTCTTTGTTTACGGTAAATAAATGCATAAATAAATAAAAAAAATGCGTCCAGGTAAAAAATTCTCCACTTTACCTCATTCTGACATACATTAAATCATATAAGCTAGTTGTTGTCTTCTATGAGCGTCTTCAGATGTATATGTGATAGAACTGTTTAAACACATTACAAATACAATTTTAACACAGGGGTCATTGCTATAGTAGATGCGTAACAAATATTTGAAGAAACGGGAAGTGACGCAAAAAATGACGAATAGGAGTTATCCTTTTATTTAACTGATTGAAGTAACGAGCGATGACAGACACACAATTGTAATAATAATAATAATAATAATTTACTGCACAAAATATTGCAAGTGTTGTAAGGTTTCCATTATAAAGCTGGAAATAAGATCAAAGGATTCCTTCGCCAAAATAACATTATTGTTTCTGTCAGAATAGTTTATACATTTCTTTTAACATTTCTACGGAACATTAGAAGACGAATATCCCCAATCTCTCGCCCATGGCTTCAGTAAAACGTTTTTCTCCTAACGTTTCTGACGAATACCCGACAATATTATTCACGAATCATTTGAATTTGAATATTCTTACAGTCGAATACCCCCTATCTCCAGTCCGTGGGTCTATTAACAATAAAAAACCCAAAAGAAAAACGTTTATGGTAATGTTTCTGGCGATTGAACAAGTGTATTATGCAAACATCTCTTAATACTCTTATATTATAGTATTCCCCGATCTCCCGTCCCTAGGTCCAATAAAATAAAAAAGCACCAAAAAAGTTTATGGTGATTACACAGGAATATTATTCACACATTTACAGTTGAGTATTCCCCATCTCTCGTCTCTGGCTCCATTGAAAAGCACCAAAAGGATTGCACAGTCAGTACAACCTACACGCCTAATATTTTCCATAATTAGTCTCCTCTATCCCATTATCTGCTGTAATAGTTGCCGCTCTACCATGTTTAATTCTATTTCTACCAAAGCGTTTTAATCTATGTTTATTAAAACACAGGGCTATGACTATTAATAACACGACAACAGGTAAGATAACCAGTACGATTCCAGCTGATAAAAGTCTGTAATCAGAATCTTTCTGAGAATACACTATCAGTAAAATACCTGGAAAATAGAAAAACAAAAACAAAATTACCAAAGAAACTCATAATAATATAATCACCGTTATTATTTTGTAAAACCAAAATATAACCATGTACTAAGACCTATTGTAGGGCGCATGGGGGAAGAGGGAGGAGGGGGGGGGGGGCGGTCCTGTACGATGAATGTGATTTCCATAATTTAGTAGTCTGTGGTAGATGTTGCTATTTGGTGCCGCAACAATTATAACGACCTTTTGGTATGAAATAATATTATGTACCACACTGATCCGCAGTGAATATTTGCTAGGCCGCGACAATCACTGATAGGATGACATCGATACGACTTAATGAGCCACAAATATTAACTTTTTTCCTCCGACAAATTAAATTCTAAAACATTTTTTTTATGTATTAGAAAAATAAATAAAGACGTTTGAAGTATTTGTAGGTAAAAATTATTTCCTATTTTAATGTAAATGGGTATTCAAATGAGTAAAAGGCGCCATTCTGCTCGAATCAGTAACGTCTTATGTAACGTTATTGAGCCCATGATTGACGCCGCGTGATATGACGTCATGTGTTGAAGGCGGTCATTCTTTAAAGATATATTAGAAGACTTTTGTAATACTCTGTGAAACAGATTGATTATGTACACGACATGTCCTCCTGGTCGGAAGAGGCTTGATGATCGTTACTTTAAAGAGAGAGAGAGAGAAATTAGGTTTAACGTCCACTCGACACAAACTAGGTCATTTCGGGACTAACATATGGTTTAATTTTATTTCAATAAATCGCTTGCGCGTAGGGGTCTTTAGCAGTGGGAGGAAACCGGAGGACCCGGAGAAAACCCACGAAGTTAGATAGGCGACCCTACTCCTTGCCACGTACAACCGGGGATTCGAAACCACGTTACTTTAAACCTGGGTCATGGTTTACAAGGTCGTTGTATAACCCGACTCGTACATGACACACAACACTTCTCGATAACAAAAGCCTTAACTACTGAGTTAAAGTATAACGAATAATACTGAACTAAAGGCCACAAACTAAGTCACCAGACTTATCTTTGTTAGTAATTAATACCTATCAAAAGGCCATCTTCCGTAAGATTATTACGCCGAGGCCACTTTCCTTTGAAGCCACATATCTTGTTTGCTAATGTACATCTACGGACTTCATATTTAACTAAACTACTAAGTGAAAGGTACTGGGCTAAGATCTCGCAACTGGGCGAAAGATCCCCAACCTTTGTCAGTCTAAAAAATACAAGATATGTGAGAGATCCTAGAAAGAAAAGCTTCGGCCAGGGTATCAGGGAAACAATCAAGGAACTGCGACTGGGGGAGCTCGTGATAAATGAACACGACCCCCCAGTGATCGCCCCTTGGACGCTCCCTATACCGCCGGTTAATATAGATCTACTACAGAAAACTGACAAGAAAAACAACCCCACTGCTGCACGTGCTTTCTCTCTAGAACACCTGGAAGACAACTGGCCGTCTGATGACTGGGACCATGTGTACACGGATGGCTCACGCAATCCTGAAAGGGGCACCAGCTCGTTTGGAATATACCTGGAACAGGGAATAAGCAGGAAACTGTCCAATAACTGTTCGGTGTACACTGCAGAGCTTGTAGCCATTCGTGACGCTATATCATGGATTTCCCATCAAAAGACTAGTAAGTTCGTCATTCCATGCGACTCTCTGAGCAGTCTGATTTCAATCCAAAATGACAACTCGGACTCAAGACCAGAAGTCATTTTGGAAATCAGGCAGCTGTACCAGAGGGTTTTAGAGAAGGGAAGCAAAGTAGAACTCGTGTGGATTCCATCACATGTCAACATTAGAGGAAACGAGGAGGCAGATCGACTCGCCAATGAAGGTCTCAAGGACACAACACCACTCCGCACCATAGACTACAGCACCACGGAAATCTACAGTATGGTCAAAAGACACGTCAATTCAATCTGGGAATTAAATCTCGTTGAACTTGACACATACAGATTCCGGCTGGATGACAAGATCTACACAAAGACAACACTCAATCACCCTAGAAGAGATATTTGTAGACTTATATCGAAGCTAAGGGTGAAAGAGCGGCTGCGAGACTACAAACACCAAGTCATCATCTGTGAGTGCGGAGAAGAATGTACCTCCAACCATGTCCTGGTAGACTGCGAGGTATACGAGGAGGAGAGAAGGGAACTAGTGAGAACAATGGAGACCAACAACATACCATTCAACACTAAGAACCTACTCTTCCCGAGACCAGATCTGAAACTGCAAATCTTCGAACAAATCCACTCCCTAATGGACACAGTTGGACTAAGTAGAATAGTGAAGTAAGAGGGGGTCACGGTTAGACGGGCCCGGCATCTAAACACTAAACTACATAGGGGATTTATACCAAACTGGCAGGATAGTGCAGTAAGGGGGAGTCACGATCAGACGGACTCGGCATCTAAACACTATTCCACCAAAAACAGACACCAAACCTACAGAGTGGGATAGTGGAGTAAGGGGAGGTCACGATAAGACGGGCCTGGCACCTAAACACAAACCCCACAAAGATGACATCTACCAAACTAGCAGGAGAGTGGAGTAAGGGGGAGTTACGGTCAGACGAACTTGGCACCTAAACACTATTCCGCAAATAAAACTGATACCAAACCCAGAGAGTGGGACAGTGGAGTAAGGGGAGGCCACGATAAGACGGGCCTGGCACCTAAACACTAACCCCAAACGATGACATCTACCAATCCAGAAGCAGACGAGATCATCTACCAAACGATATGTTTTGTATTAAATAAAGGGAAGAACTTCCCACTAAACCAAATCCATGGCCTAAGGCCAAATGGAAAGATTGCAAAATCATATTCTAAAAAACAGGAATCAGCTTCGGCTCTCCTATGTCTTGTCTGCGATATCACTTATGTGGAAGCAGACGTTAAACACCAAGAACGAACGACGAAATACTATCTTATAGAACATGTGCAGTTCCAAACTTGTACCGCCTTGAATCTTAGTTAATCGTCAAAATCACTGGAAAGAAAACATGACAAGCGTGGATGTTCCGTAACATTCTTATGTGTGTAGTACCAGGAATTAAGTATAACCATAATACTTAGGGGTGTGTAGGCGTGTTGATCATAATAAATAATAATAATAAAAATAACTTCCATAAGTCCCTCCTAAACTACAAAACATATAAATATGATGACTGAAACAAGAAACGGTCTAATTTGCAATTCAAAGGTGATTGGTTTTAACGTCAACTTGACAAAAACTAGGTCATTTCGGGACTAACATATGGTTCAATTTTATTTCAATAATTCGCTTGCGTGTAGTAGCAGTGGGAGGAAACTAGAGGACCCGGAGAAAATTCACGAGGTTGAGCAGGTGACCCTACTCACGTAGAACCGGGAAATCAAAACCACGCCAGTCGACTCAATGACAGACCTTATGATACAACGTGCAAGCGCTAACCATTCGCCCCACCCCCATATCGAGCCTATTGTATAACATTCATATTGTTTCATTTTATATGTGTATTTCATTGTATATATATATTTCTTTTTTTTCAAAATATTATTGTGTATGCTCAAATCGTCTGAACAGGTTGTAATATATCATGTTTGCTTACAACTTTACTTGCAAAAATCTTATGCTTACAGTCAGTTCTTTTGTAACTTAAAAACGATACAGGAAGAAAAAGAATATCGATGGAAGAGATTGGTCAAAGAGTTTTAACATGGTGTTGATAAATAAACCTGTATCCATCATAATAAAAATATTTCCAGACCAACCTGTTGGTAAGGCCACAAAAAATGAGAAGCCTACTGAAGAAGCTGCTATACAACCTTGTAAACAACATAAACTTGATTTAACTGAATCATCTGAAAAATATAAATTTATAAACGTCAATCTTCTTCATTTTCTATTAGTGTTTAACGTCCGCTCCCAAGTCGTCTTATTTTGTTATGTTATTGCGTTCAGAGGTCTTTCCTGTGGGTGTAAACCCACTAGGTTGAGAAGGAACCCGCATCTCCAAGCCACATACGCTCATACCAGGGATCGGAACTATGACAGCAAGCCAAAGATGACCGGCCAGCTAGAGTATAGTTGTGAGCCACGTCGACTCAATGGGTAGGACGTTGGCTCACTAACCTGGAGGTCCCGTATTCGGTCCCGTATTTTTGCGGCGTGGTTCCCCCTTGTCAGTGATGTAGGGCGGAGGGCCTGGCAAGGGACAACGTATAATCGTTCGGATGGGACAAAAACCGAGGTCCCGTATATACAATGGCGTGCACGTTAAAGAACTCTTGATGGTTGGAATTCCCTCAATGCACACTGCAAGGCCCATGCCCGTCTTCATTAGCCAAGTAGGAGCAACGCAGTAGGACGTTAAAACCGATTTTATTTCATTTCTAGCTTAGTTACCTGGATTCGCATGGGGTAAAACAATCTCAGTTTTTACTAACATATACATATATTAGTAAAAAATAAATTAAAATCATTCAGCAATCGTATTAAAAGCCAAAAATATTTCCCGATCTTTGTAAATCACATAATGGAAAGACTCAAAGTACAAGAAGACCATGCACTGGATAAACACAAGCGGGTAGGAGAACAAAACACATCAACCGTCAAGTAAGAAACGGAACTGTATTGGTATACTTGGCTGCTTTTTTGTGGTGTATTATGGGACTTTTAGAACCCGAGTGTATATAAGAATGATTCTGATTGATTTAGCCTTTATAACCATTTGATATATCATTAGCTGATATCACCGTCACGTTGAAAACAATGGTATAATCAAAAAAAACAAAAAAAACCCCACAGCGTTAGAGGAACTTGTCTGCTGAGAACCTTTAACTCCATAATTTAATAAATATATATGTACAAAGGAAAGCTCGTTTAATGAGGGTGGATCGTTGCTGGAAAAGCTACATCTTTAACATGCACTAATTGACCCACGTAGCTCCACAAAAAGTAATAAATCAATAATGGATACGCCCTTGTAAAAAGGAATCGATTTGTAATTATTGACAATAAAGGTAGTATTATAGATTTTATGAACACTATTGTAAATCGATTCATCAAGGTTTTTATTATTTAATCTAACCGCAGATCAGATCCTGACAAAATACCCATTTGTGTAACTAGATCGCTGTATATAAATCAATTATTTTTAAACAGTTTAGTTAATAAACATGTGCAGTATTGAATTTCTTGTACGCGATTTTATCATATTTAGCAAGATTATTTCTATTCTTTATATGATCAGTTTAGTCCATTAGTAAAGCAGATAATACCGGTATTAAAAACAGGATTCGCACTAACTGCAGTAAGACAGCCCGAATAAACACAGAATGAATGAAATGGCGTTTAATACACTCGATCAAATATTATTACCGCCTAGAAGGGGATAATAATAATAACGAAATAAATCGGCCTATATTGAAGTAAACGGCAACCCGTTTTTACCGTTTGGTAAATTTATGATCTCCATCATGTTATAGAGTGTGTCTACAAGACCCTAAACCTAACCCTAGCAAAACATAGGTCCACCACACACATCGAAGCTTTAAATCCAGGGACAGTCGAGATAACTCCACAAAAATAAAACGAGCGTAAAATATACGCATCATACCATAAGATACACATATTCTGGAAAGTTGGCCTTCATGTCCCTATGATGGGGTCATAAATTTACGGAGGGGTAAAAACGGGCTGCCGTTTACCTCCTTACAAGAAATGAAATGGGGTTTAACGTCCAACTGTTCTGCTCCGACTGGGTTTATATAGACAGGCATACGCCATACATTGATCTATAAGTGAAAGTTTGCCGTCAGCAATTGAATTCCAATTGTTAGGTGTTCTTTTACGTCTAACATGGCTTTCTCGAATGAACACTTTCAAGAAATCAACTTCGACATGTGTTTAGTGTCGCATCCCTAATGTTACTTGTTCAGATTACATAGGTGCCGAATATCAACGCAAATTGTCCGATTTCATTCGACATTATACTCGAAGTTTGTGTTCTGCCACCAGACCTTAAAGCGATAGCTACAGGTGCCGTATCAGGCATATAATATGACATACAATATAAGATAAGATAAGCTCACGTCACGTGTTTTTGATTAGTAGTAAATGCTCGGTTAATTACAGAAAGACCCAAAGTAATAGTTAACTAGAAATATCCATTTGTTACAAACTATACCAATCATTATTTTCCCAGGGTGACCGTGGTCTTTGATCAAGAGTTCTGTCTAAAAGGTCAATAATCGAAAATTTAGTACATATTTTATACGAGTTTACAATACTGAATTACAACCCACCCGCTGTATCTTCTCTCTATACTCCATCCAAAATCTATTAATTTGAAAGATCTCTAATCTAAAATTCTAATAACTGTGGCTTTAACCTGGCGGAGAATTTATATTATGATTATAGGTCTACATTTAATTTGAATCAATATCACCTGGTGTTACTATATATTATACTCCTATATTATGCCCTATAATATGCTTTATTAAATTTTGTTTTAATGGTATTTAGCAACTGAACTGGAAATACACAGGCCACAATTATATGGATACAATATTACAATTTAGACATTTCGACTAGGATGCTATATTATGATCTTTGTTTGATAATAACTAGGAAGTCTCAGTAGAAAAAATATATAGCAATACTGCAGTAAACATACATTATAATATCAGTTCTCACGGTGGGAGTACATGTACATAATATGTACAAAGAGAAGTACATAATGTGTACAGAGAGAGATCGGGGTACATAATATTTACAAAGAGAAGTACATAATGTGTACAAAGAGAGATAGGGGTACATGATGTGTACAGAGAGAGGTGCATAAGGTGTACAGAATGTGTACGCAGGGAGACACGTAATGTATACATAGGCAGGCGACCCTTGTCACTTACAAGTTGAAATCGAAACAACATAATAATATCAGTTCTGAACGTGGGAGAACACCCAGCAATGTATACAGTTTCTATATTTGCCATATAAAAGTCCAGTTAATTATATAACGATTAATAAGGCACACGTCATAAGTTAATTACGGGAAAGCAGGACAGGGACGATAAATAATTAAAAAAAGAGAAAAAGTCATGTTTAAATAGTGGTACAACAAAATGTCGTTATCTTAGTGAACTCCTCAGATTACAAGTGTTATCGGCGGTTCTAGAAATAGGAAGCATACCACATTTATACACGACACCAACCAATACTTATAGCTGACTGTGGCAATGGTTTGAAGCCAAACTGCCCTGTTTAGCTACGGTAAAATGATGTATTCTTAGGAGATATTGCGAAATTCGAAGCACGTATTCTCGTAAACAATCTTCCTTTTATCTAGTTACATCACGAAGGATTAGACAGAATAATACCTGACACATTCCTGATTGTTTTACCCTTTATTTATTGAAAATCAATAGACAAGTTAAATATTGATTCTTATTATATAAAAGAACATACACGTTACGTATATGTTCTACTTTTTCACCTATGATTTACTCAACCATCTGATCAAATGAAATGAAATGGGGTTTAACGTCCTAATGTTCTGCTCCGACTGGGATAATGAAGACAGGCATACGTCATACAGTGTGCTATGAGGTAAATTTTGCCCTGACAGCGATACTACGACCTACTCTTATATCGAATTCCAACTGCCAATGGATCCTTTACGTGCACGCCAATGTGTATACGGGATGTAGGTTTTTCGTCCCATCCAAACGACTATACGTTGTTTGTGCCTTGCCAGATTCGGTCCTACACCACTGACTAGGAGGAACCACGCCGAACTCATTTGATTGGAATTTGGGGACTTGTCATAAAAAAAAACATACAGAAAGTGACAGTTTGTGTACCACAGAGCTTCAGATAGTTGCAGGAAGCAATGCGACCTCTAACGTTGACTATTACCGAAACTTTGGATGACGATATCTCCTCATTTGCCAGAAGTATTCGAGGTTACATACTGCACATGGAAACAAAATGGGGTTTATCGTCCTACGTTTCTGCAGCGACTACCAAGGGTTCTATTACGTGCAGCTCAACGTGTATACGTGGCCTCCGTTTTTCGTCCGATCCGAACGAATCCCGGCCCTCCATACTCACTGAGCACTCGCGACTCCTTACACCAGGTGGAGTTGTATACGCACTTATCCCATTGTGAACGCAAGTTTGTCATTTTCATGTAGGGTCCTGCTTCTATTGTTGTTGTATCTATTCCCAATATAGAGTTAATAAAACCACGGTGATTCGTATGTTATTAACATTCAATTGATATATAATTCATGGATCTACTTTAACATGTCGATCATGGATAGAGTTAATTTGTATAATTTGAATAAATCAGGCTTTGTGTGATGAATTAAAGATGAATCCCTTCAAATGTTAATGTGCATCGTGTCTATAAATCATTAATAAGGGAAAACACGAAATTAGCGCTTCATAGTTTTTTTTAACGACTGATATAAGACTGACATATTTCAAACTATATTAAAGTAATTGTGCGTGATTTGCACTCTTCGGAAAATATCAAATTTCTTTCGACTTAGAAACAGGCCAATCAATAAATGAAATGAAATGAAATGGAGTTTAACGTCCTACTGTTCTGCTCCTAACCTGGGCTAATGAAGACGGGCATACGCCATACAGTGTGCTATGAGGGAAATTTTGCCCGGACAGCGGCACTACGGCCTACTCTTATATCGAATTCCAACTGCCAAGGGATCTTTTACGTGCACGCCAATGTGTACACGGGACCTCGGTTTTTCGTCCCATCCGAACGACTAGACAGCTTTCCTTGTCAGCCCCTCCGTCCTGCATCACTGACAAGGGAGAACCACGCCGGAAAATCTGGATGAACTTTCTCGGCCAATGCAGGGATCGAACACCCGACCTCCAGGCTAGCGAGCTAGCGTCTTACCCACTTAGCCACGTGATCCCCAGGCCAATCAATAAGATTTCCCGAACAAGTTAAGATGGCAGCGGACGTGTTATAATATCATGACATCATCTAACAATAAACAGACTCGTAAGTGGCGACCAAATTGCAAATTCGAAAAAATGAAGACCTGTTTCGTTGACAGGTTCTGTCAAAAACTAAAAGAAGAGAGAACATAAAAAAGTTAAGAATATTGTAGTTAGCCACATAATTCCTATATCGCTCAAATCATGCCCAGAGACTCTAAGCCACCGGTTATTGCCCTTGACATGGGTCTTTTTGATATGATATATCGAAAGTAAGAAGTTTGAATTGTTCATGCTAGACAATGTTAAATATTTATCAGCTAGGCCACCATTTCTTCTGAAAGGAAATACCATTTAAGTGCCTTGTCCTAGTGACATTGTGTCGTTGCTGAAGATTTAGGTTATGACTAAAACTAGTTGGCATACGATCGGAAATCTACTTTGTGGTTTATTTCACCCCCCCCCTCCCACCTTTTCAGCGTTTTTCGCGAAGCTTACGTTTTGTGTACAGCAAAAACTTGTACGCCATATTTTAAAAAAAAAAAGATGCATAGTATTTTGAGCCATTCTTGGCCTTAAAAGAAAAATGGATTCAAATCAGCAAATCAACCATAATCAATTTTACAATTTTACAGAGAGAGAGAGAGAGAGAGAGAGAGGGGGAGGAGATAACATCCACTCGACACAAAAACTAGGTCATTTCGGGACTAAAATGATTCAATTTTATTTCCATAATTCGCATGCGCGTAGGGTTCTTTAGCAGTGGGAGGAAACTGGAGGACCAGAAGAAAACCCACGAGGTTGGACAGGCGATCCTACTCCTTGTCACGTACAGCCGGTGAATCGAAACCACGCCAGTTGACTCAATGACAGACCTTATGATACAACGCGCACGTGCTAACAATTTGGTCATCCACCCCCCCTCGTCATTTACACTTAACTTCGTTAGCTTAAACACATTATGAAGACATGTACTTATTATCATTCAAATGTGGAAACGGAGAGTTTGTATTTCTGTGAAAGGGTACCACAGAGATTCAGATAGTTGTACAAGACTAGGATAAAGAGTCAAAAACGCGTTTGATTCATTTGTGACTTCCCCTTTAACGTTGGAATTAAAGCACGCAATTTATTTATGTTTGTTTTTTTCTTTCTATCAAATTAGAGATGTTATCCAAATGATAAAGTGCCCCATGTTCCGCCTTCTGCACCCATTATTTTTGATGGCCACGGGTGGTTTTAAATGAAAATGAAGAACAAAGAAGTGATTCATGAGTATTTTCAAAAACAGGGTTTTAAAAAACCACAAACCGTCTTATGTTTAGAATTTGGGGGGCGAGGGTATAAAATAGAGATGGTGTTTTCTGGCATATCACACCGAACAGGACTACACTTTAGTGATCAATTTCTGATAATAAATTAAATGGGGTTTAACTTCCAACTTAGCTAATGAAGACGAGCTCATGTCATGGCCTAGTCTTATTTCGAATTCCAACTGTCAAGAGTTCTTTTACGTGCACGCCAATGTTCACGGGGCCTCGTTTTTTTCATACCACCCGAACGACTTGACCTTGCCAGCCCCCCACCCCTCCCAATCCCCGCCCTGCACCATTGACATCTGGAAGCCGCGCCTAAAACCCCAAAGAACTTTATCAGCCAATACCAGAAGCAAACCCAAGTCCTACTGGTAAGCTGACCAGCGTCTTAACCACTAAGACATGGCGGCTCCTAGACAAACTGTACACGAGGATAAAAAAACCTGTATCGCAATATATATATGTATATAAATGTTAAACACTCTTACACGAAGTATATGAAGGAATTGTTCAATATATAAATATAATGTTACCTTCGTCCTGCTCTTCTATCGATGTCATGGTTCCTGTATATTGTTCTAATTATCCTATTGTTATATATCTACACATATTCCTATACGAACCTACACCAAACTATAAACTTGGTGTTTGAAGAAAGGCTATACAGTAAGTAGACTGTAGATCGATGAGGAAGTGAAAGTAGTAAGAAAATCAGAGGCCATTTTCCTATATTATTTATATAGAATATCCACGGTTTATATACCTTTCTATACAAGACCGCATCGATTATAAACTTCAATAGATCACGTGACTTCATGTTTAAAGTGGTCTCCATTGACTATATAATTTGTCCTTTATTTGAATACAAATAAAAAGACAATATTACCCGATGCTAGGGAGGAGAATAAGCATACCATGCCACATACACGACATCCGTCGCTTTTTAGAGCTTCCCGTCATGCAAAGTGGTGTGTAAATGAGTACCGCTTAAAGACTAAAACGCGAATTGTCTCCTGTCCACTTTAAATTCACAACCGTTTTTTTTTAACAATAGTCAATTCGAATGGCTGTTATCTATACAAGTAGTGAGCCACGGTGGTTCAGCGAGTAAGACGTTGGCTCGCTAACCTGGAGGTCCCGTGTTCGATCCCTGCGTTGGCCGAGAAAGTTCATCGAGATTTTCCGGCGTTGTTCAGAACAGAGGGCCTGGCAAGGAACAGGGTATAGTCGCTCGGATGGTTCGTAAAATCGAGGTCCCGTGTACACTTTGGCGTGCACGTAAAAGATCCCTTGGAAGCTAGAATTCGATATAAGAGTAGTCCGTAGCGCCGCTGTCAGGACGTTAAACCCCATTTCATTAATATGCAAGTAGGGTTAGATCCTGTTTTTGTACGTGACAAAGAGTAGGGTCGAATACCAAACCTGGTACTTTTTCTCTGGGAAATCATGTGGGCTTTTACAAGCGAATTATTGAAATAAAGAGATGTGATATGTTACTTCTCTCTTTGTGTGTGAGTTAGTTGTATGTTACGTCTACGCGCAAGCGAATTATTGAAATAAAATTAAACCATATGTTAGTCCCGAAATGACCTAGTTTGTGTCGAGTGGACGTTAAACCCCATTTCTCTCTCTCTCTCTCTGTATATTACGTCCGCTTCCACCGAGGTGATACCGCAGACAAACTTATCCCTTTAAATGAAACGTATTCTAGTAGGTAAAGCTGTCATGCATGTCATATATAAAATAAACAAGTAAATATATATCGTCAACGTTTAGTCCAGCTGTTAGTGAAGCGTGATCGAAACATGTGGTCTGCATATATTTGACTTAAAACCACGCCCCCCTACTGTGTTTTTACTATATTTGCCAGTAATGGTGTCACTAAAGAAAAAAAAACGCGTTAAAATATGTCTCCAACTTGAACGAGGTCAAACTAGTATACCAGACAGTTGGTGTTTTGTTTGTTTTGTTGTTGTTTTTTTTAACAAATAAAAACAAAGAATAAACCCAACTAAACAACAGGTCTTTGTATAAGTTCAGTTATGAAAAGTCAACAAAAATCTTCCGTGTTCAAAGTTCAGGGAATAACTTATAAGTTTCTCACTTATCGGGGGTAAATTAGAAGAATGGTAAATACCATTATCATCGACACCGTCTGTGGAATATTCCCCACTGGAAAATACATGTTGCTTAGTTAGAAATAAATGAATATTTGATAGAATTTACCAGAACTTACTAAAAGGTGTCCGCCCAGTAAATTAATCTATGGAATACAATGGTTCAGTTTCCGGAATACTGTTTCAAAACAACCTGGCACAATTGTTTCGGGACAGCTATGAAAGGTAGCGGTTTGGGCTAACAGTTAATCCTGGAAGCAAACATTCTGCAAGAGCGAGGGTGGTTACCAGATTTCAGATCCAGATCGTAAACAAACTAATTTACAGATACGCATTCGACCTGAATTGCTGTGGACATGTGAATGTTGCCATTTTGAATCGGAAGAAACCTCACCGAACATAGATTTGAATTTCAACATATTTAAGAAAGAAACATGATGGGTTGCGAACCTGTAAAGATTCTCGATTCGCATTTGCGGTAATTAAACACGCCTTGGACAAGGTTGGTCAAATCAAACCGCTATTACGTTATAGGCGTTAGCCTACAAGACGACGTAGGTATCAATTTATATTTTCAATTCGACACCACATATAGGCCAGTAGACGTCACACGACCGTCTCTTTAAAGAAGCGAGTAGTAAACGTGGGAATTAAAATTAAAAAATGAAAAGTATGAATACACTTGTAGTAATTTTGTTATCTTTATCATGACCTTTAACTAAATGTTAGGTAAGATAAGTCATAGTTTAAAATGTAGAGTGAGTGTTGTACAATATGTAGATTTAACAGTGATAAAGGTTGAGGTAAACGTTCAATACAACACATCCTAAATATATAATAGTAATAATACATGTATAATGTATATGGACAAATTACACAAAATCAAACAATAGCTTTTGGATTAGCGACACTTAAGAAAAATTAATTTATTATCAAGTGATACTAGATGTTCTGGAACCGATTAGTATGATACCAATAATTGTCACTGTGGTAAAATGAATAGCCGAGTGTGGGCAATGTTGGGATGGCGACCATAGAGCTTTTCAAATGCAAGGTTAAGTCTAGTTGGTGGTAACAATAATTGCCTTGTTAATAAAACAAATATAAAAAAAATGATTAAGCTTAGACTGTGCGAAATAATGACATATACGAAGCAAAGGTAAAATACAAATGTGTTGGTTAGGTCATTTTTAAACGCGTAGTAGTATCATAATTATGTAAAAAAAACAAAAAAACAGTTATTACCGATATAGCTAGAAAAAATAGTATAACATCGCGGTTAACTGAACAGGATATAGATATCCTGGTCTAAAATATGCAGCCCCTGTTGTTAAAGTTACAATTTCATATTTTTAAGTTATATTTTTAAAATTTATTAAAATAAAGCCATAAAATAGATGGTATCTATAAACAGTCCTACCTTGTTAAAGAATAATCCTATTTATCCTAAAATTCACTATTGCCAGTTGAGAAATTGGCAAAAATATCATTTTCATCTTCAAATTCAAACGTTTGAAGATAGCTACTCCATGGTGGAGAATAGAAAACATGGGAGGTAATTGTGTTATTATTTCCGGTGTAAATGCGTTTTAAGTGTGAGAATGACACCTATGATCGTATAATAGTGAGTTGACAACCTATTGAGCAAAAGACATAGAAATAATTATGTTTTGACCTTCTTAGAAAATATGAAATTGTAACTTTAAACACGTTCCAAATATAATTTAAACACAGAGATCATTGCTACGATAGCTGAGTAATACAGGTTTCCTGAATCGGAAGTGACGAACGCCAAAGGAAAACACGAGGCATCCCTCTACATAACTGACTGATGTGACGAGTGATAACAGATACACGGCCG